GATTGAATTGACTAGGTGTGTTATTGATGTGATTTATATTATTATATTGAGCTGTTTGTATGCAGGTAATGTTGAAATTATATGTGTGAAAAGGGACTGTTGCGGCATGATTGTCCCTGATGTGCTGGTTGATAGTGTCAGTGCCCCAACGGTCTGCTCGCTTAAACGCCCTGGCGCTGCAGCACCTACAGCCTGACATTGAACATGTCCCTTTTGTTAAAGGTACGCCGGTGGGCCTGCTTGGTAGCACTGACCACGTTACCTCCGGAGCCCTTGTTGTATTTCTCTCCGAGTCTGCTGGAGATATTTAGTCTACGCGGGCCTGCTTCGTCGCGTCAGCGTTCGTGGCAAACCTCAAGTTGAGTTGGGCGCTGCGTGTGCGTTTTCAGTCCGTCGCGGGTCTGGCTTACGGTGTTTCAGCGTAGTCTGTGGCTTCTAGCTCTGAGGCTGAGTTTTTAGGGGGTTAATGGGCAGGGTGGCCCAGTGTTTACAGTTTAGGGGCCGTATTATCAAAACTTCGTAAGTACGCAAAATCGACTTACGAGTGGCGTAAGTGCTGATATGATAACGTAACTCTAGCGGTGGTATTATCAAAATAAATGGAGTTAAGTACAAGTTTTGAGTGTGCCGAAGCAATATAAAACTATTAATTTACTTACAACACGGTGAACTGTGATAGAATATTGCAAAAAATTTAACATAGGCATAATGTGTGATCGTGCTAAAGTCTAAACGGTGCTTTTGGGATAAAAATGTAAATTACCTTTTGTGCTATAATTTACAAGCAAATGTTGATATTCATATCTAAGAGTTTTATGATCATTCACTTAAAACAGTATCTTAATGTCTTTTTGAGTCAAAATTATATTGAGGTTGACAAGCCAACCATTTTTCTAGTTCTCTGTAAACAAATTTATTTCTTTTTACGACAGTCGCAACTCCAACTCACGAAATTTTCTAAATTCATTGTAACCTTCTAAAAAATTATTCTAATTTTGAATGATAATAATGCATTAATTTGCCCTTATTGCAAGAAATTTCGGTTAATGAACACAACCACAAGTGCATTGCTATTTGGATAACGTCTCACTCATTTATCCACACACACCCTTCAGGCACCGCAAATGCCGCTGACACCACACATCCTGCTTTTGTCCAAGCGCACTCGGAGCTGGTCTCCGAGTGCGTCTTTTTTGTCTTTTTGGAGCTGGACAGACGGAGCTTTTCGAAAGCGAAAGACTTTTCCGAAAAGACTTTTGGAGCTTTTCCTCTTTTGTCTTTTCGGAGCTGGTCTCCGAAACGTTTTCAATAGAGAAATGCTGAATTTTTGTGGAGTTTTCTTCGCTTTTAAATTTCTAGTGAATCTGCGATTCAAGCATTCTAGTGACATTATTACTTAACATAACATAACATAACATAGTGATGTCGGCACTGAAGTGTAGGCCTGATGTGGCCTGTCGCCGATTCTTTTCCTTTTCGTGCCTTGTTCACAGAAGATCTAATATCGTGTTATTTTCCCGGATCTTTTCATGACTGGCGATAGTTTGAAGTAGCTACTAGACTTCCACCAGTTTTAAATTCTAGTAACCCTTCAGGGACCTTGTATAGACCATGAGTATACTTGTATACTTCAATGAGGTCCCCACGCAGACGTCGATAACTGAGGCTTGGAAGCTTCATAATCTTCAATCTTTCTTCATAGGACTTGCCCTTCAAGCCTGGAATTATCCTTGTTGCACGTCTTTGAACATTCTCTTTTAAATTTCTGTCCTTTACTTGGAAAGATCGGGTTCCAAAGGCCGGATCCCTTGTGAATCAAGTCACGAAAAGTACAATAATCGACAACAGGCCATGGGCCTATTTCTTCAGTGCCGACACTTCTATTCTATAATTTTGAGTCAGCCATTATTTAGGTAGTACTTTTCATTCGATTAGTAAATCGTACATTTTTAACTTTCAGTATCGGGGAATCCCCTGGATTCGAGTTGGAGGATTTTTTCTTTATCCACCGGAACATTTTTTGCGACCATCGTCTTTGAACTTCATTGAAACGAATTATTTATACTATATAAATTGTATATAGTATATATACATATACTTCACTATAGAAATTTCCGGATGCCTGTCGTCATTCGACTTTACCGAACGGTGCTGACCTAAGCGTTTCATTGCATACATTTAAATAAACTTCAATAAATTCGAATTGGGTTCATATCTGAATTTATTTGTCTGCGAAACGAATTATTTATACTATATAAATAATTGAAACGAATTATTTATACTATATAAATTGTATATAGTATATATACATATACTTCACTATAGAAATTTCCGGATGCCTGTCGTCATTCGACTTTACCGAACGGTGCTGACCTAAGCGTTTCATTGCATACATTTAAATAAACTTCAATAAATTCGAATTGGGTTCATATCTGAATTTATTTGTCTGATTGTGCAAGTCCTTCATAATTTCCTAACAGTATAACAGCGTCAACAATCTTCAAGCATCAGCACGATATCGCCATATTTATGCCCTGCCAACTTTAACACTACGGCTGTGATTTAGCCGTGACACAACGCAAGAGGCATCGAGATGTAGATCGATTATACAGCCGCCAATTAAAATATAAATTATCGAGTAATTATCGTCGGTACGGTAACCAGCACGTACGGCAAGGTCACGGCCAACGTAATTATTCCGAAGGACGGCTGTTATTAAGTCCACTGCTATGCTGATTTCCAAGCATTGTTTGAAGTTATTGAAAAAGAACGAGGGCATGTGCAGTATGACCACTTGACTCTGTGCAGCACTACAGATGAAACGGTAACAAACTTGATAGAGACCTATTCGTGCTACCACAGGCGCACCACCTTAATTGAATTTTTGAACTGTTTTTGATTTAAATTTATAGTATTCGTGGTTCGAATTCCTTATTTCTCATCGGATACACGTTTCTGCTGAAGTAGGAAGTTGACTTGATGTGGAAGGATAAATGTTTAACTTTATTTGTGTTCAGCTTGCCTTTTTCTGAACCAGTTAATTTTTAAACTTAATATGTGCATTTATTTCCCAGTTTAATATTGAATATGCCGATATTTCATTGTAACCCTCTCAATTAACTATACTTTTGTAATGGCCTTTTCACACGACAAATTTTACACGAATCTTACTTACAGAGGAAGCCTTAAATTCTATACGGAAGCCACATTACGTGAAAAAAATGAAATCAAGTACCTGTAAAAATAATCAAATTAAATAAAAAAGAAAGAATTTGCTCTTAGAGAAAGAAACTTGAAATCTGCTGAAGCACTATAAATACACTTTCCTCGAAATGTCGGTAAAAATAAATAAATAAATAGAATCTGCTTTTTTCGTCTCTCCAATGATTTTTTTTTTTTACTATTCCTTGATTTTAGCTCATTTTGTGGCAAATGTTCGTCGCGGGAAACTATTTTCAACTGTTCTATTTGTTCGTTGTAGGTACTTTAGGATTCTGGCCAACTAGGTGAAATGAAAATTTCAATTGTGTTTTTTATGGATGAATTGCACACGCTTGTCATTTTTCAAGTCATTTCAGTAAGTCAGGCGGATAAACGGAGAAAAAACGGTAAAAATTGAAATAAGCAGTACATGATGATTCTCGCATTATATTTAGGGCTACAAATGCATTTCAATTTTTGCTCTTTCATTGCAATGCTCCAAAGCAAATATAATTACGCATTTTACGATTCTGTTTTGCATCTGTAATATCTAGGTGACATTTTTACCTAGAGATGGACACATAGAAGATGGACATATAGGTGTAAAGAGAATACCGTTTATTACGGTGCAGATATTATTGAATAAACGACTCCATAATACATAGCATATATCGATACCTTAAAATATCACTTCATTTACAGATGAAAGAATCAAGGTACTCGTAACATTTGAAAGTTTAAATATTTTTCTGGTTCGTGAAGACGTTTTGTCCTTCTTCAGGTTAACAGGATTCAAGCGAAATACAATCAAGTCACATTTCAATTCCAAATTGGAAACAATTGCTGAGCTTTTTCTTCTTCACCACAAATGGAAGCAACGAATATGTAGACAAAACCAAAAATTAGTGAATCATTTGCCTGCACACGCAGGAGGGAAGTTACCGCCGACGATACTGCAGAAGAAAGATACTGAAAAAGTCCTGGCCGTGTCGGTTGAAGTCATGAGCATTGTGTAGGTGGAAGTGAAGGACTGCCATAAAGTCAAAGCCAGCTTAGGGTCCCGGGATCCTTCGTTGGCGTCGGTGTCCGCATTTGCGTGCATACGAGGATCAGTGAGTGATGCTCCGATGTCGTCAATAGACCTATGGGAAATTTTTGTTTATTTGTGCCAACTTTTTATTCATGCAGGAAAGCACATGCACAATAAGACATGGCACTAGTATTTAATTCTGACTGGCAAATGTTGCACGTGACTATTCAACTAGAATATTATATTTGAATTTATTTAATTCACTTTGCATAGTCTGGCGTGTATGAATGAATTTGTATACATCCATTGAATGTTTCAGTGCCGCAACAATAGTTGGGGAGAGAAACCATGCAATTCGCACCATACACCAAGAAAAATGAATGGTCATATTACCCCAATAACGCCACACTTTTTACATGTTACACTGATTTGTTCTTTTGCTGTGAAAAACAAGTTTAATATAGCCCAACCATGGGCATTAAGTGCATTACTATTTGGACAACTTCTCTCACTTTTTCTCAGTGCAGGAAATGCTTCAAAGAAACACGACATACGAAATGATTTTCGACGAACGCACATAAGCCTCTATGGCGCTCGTTACGTACCCAGATTTTGGAAGCTCGAGAGCTTTCCTGTAGCTTCTTCGTTTCCTGCACGCGGCCGTGTTCTGTAGTCTGGCGCAGGTGTACGGCTTGGTGGTGGTGCTGGTGACGAACGACAGCTGCGTCCATGTGCTCACGACTGCTATGATACGCGCGTCATCACGACGATCGCCGTCTACAGGAAAAACACACATTCCGTAAAAATCGATTGCGAAATCGTAATAAAAAATTTTAAATGAGACAAAATTGATTAATTTTGTTTGGTAATAATTTAATCCATTTTTATAACGAAGAAGAATTTAATCACATCATAAAATTTTTAATCATAACATTTGATTTTAATAACAAAATTATAATTAATGATGTAAATATTTATGAGCCGTAAGTGATTTCAGGTAATAATTAATACAAGTAATTAAGATTCAAAATTTGGCTGGCAATGCAACACTTACAAATTAAGGTAAATTTTATAGTTAATACTTTTTGGTTAATACTTATTGAAGGTATTAATGCTCATTACCTTCAGCTGAGCAGGTGATTAGCAGCGCCATGAGGCTCACTGCCACAGCCAACAACTTCCTCCCCTTTGCACCCACCATCGTGTTAATTGCTTAATTTAAATATTATTGAGATTATTATTAGCCCTGAAATCTGATAATGATATTTTGACAATGATGGAAAGGTTCATCATTGATAAATTAATTCTTCTTCAAGTAGCAGTAGGTATCAGGATGGCATTACCAGACTGAGCATCTCACTCGAAGTATCCTAAGTAATTTTGAGTCAACAGGGATAAGAGTAAACAGGATAGGAGTCAACAGGGATAGGAGTCAACAGGGATAGGAGGCAACAGGGATAGGAGTCAACAGGGATAAGAGTCAACAGGAATAGGAGTCAACAGGGATAGGAGTCAACAGGGATAGGAGTCAACAGGGATAGGAGTCAACAGGGATAGGAGTCAACAGGGATAGGAGTCAACAAGGATAGGAGTCAACTCCTGATTCATTGATGAAGCTGGATAGGACGACACTAATTACGAAAAAAGCTCTATATTGCACGAAATATTTTGTTGAAAAAAAATGTTAAAAATTCTATTGAAAGTTTTTTAGTTGGATTTATATTTTCTGGTTAATTCAGACCGCAGTGTTTATGCCCGGATCATGCTCACGGAATGTTCGTGAAGACGTGAACATTCTGACATCAAATACATAATCTACGTAAATACGCTTAATAGTTTCGCTGGCATTACTGTACATGTGCTGTGGATATTACTGCAACAAATTCAACTCCATAGATGTCTAAAATACTTCTGTAGAGTTAGCTCCACCTAAGAGAAGTTAGAAAAAATAATAAACGTTCTCGACATCGGTCCTTTATCTTGGCTAGCTATCAGCTTCAAATGTAAACTGAGTTCGGAGGATCGTCTTTTAAAGCCATTATCAGCCTTATAACGCGGCATTAAATCATCTCAATTTCCTGGTTCGAGAAATTCAAAGCCATTTCATAATATTCTTCCTGCATGGGCTGCAAACCCATGAACTAGATCCAAAAGTACCGCCTAGATTTCGCTCGCTCCTGGGCTTGAAGCTGCGTCCTCTGACCTGTCGTGGATATTAGTGCAGTACTTCTGTGCCAGGTAAAATAGACGATGTGTTGAATGTACCTAGACGAATTTAAAATCAAATATTGTTATACTAATCAGTTGAATATGCGAGTGTACAGGAGGGTGAATAATCAATAATAATATTAATATATTCATAAAAAAATTCTTTACAATGGGCAAAGAACACCAGTCACCCTTCTAAAAAGTGCTTTTTAGTCGCTTCCAAAACGCAACTATATATGTTCGTCTGAGCCAGTTTTTGACTCTGCTTTCAAATAAGCTCCCAGTTTTCTACTGCACGTAAATATTTCAAGTCACTGTAACTCAGTTGTAATTTTTTGTACGATTTAAACAACTTAGTAAACAGGTGTGGTGAATTTTTGAAACCATTTTGAATTTATCCGCCATTTCTTGCTCAGCACGTGACATCTATCATTCAACTATTTGGCGAGCTCAAACGTTTCTGATCATAAAACCAGCAAGTTAAGAAGTCGGATAATATTTTTTTCTCAACTTTCATGTTTATCGCCATTTTTCATCATATCCAAAAGTAGCCACTTGTTATGTTTCCATTTCAATATCCTGGTTTTCGTGTTGCCCTAGCGTCGATTTCTTGCCGAATGAATCAATAATATTGAAGCCGTTGATACCAGCCAGAAATTTTTCTAAACATGAAGAAGAAATTTCTCAATTCAAGAATATCTCTTCAATGAAACATTAGAAATTACCAAGAAAATTTCACCTTCAAGTGTTCATACATTTTTTAGCTGAGTTTGATGTGCAGCGGATTATCTGCGATTTAAATTAAGATGTGATTACTAACCTTGTGTGTATCATCTTGACCCAATTTTGCCTATCAGGATGCATCATACACAGGCATTCTGTTGTCAATAAGCTGTGACACGATTGAGCAAATGACGAATTTTTCTCGTGAAAACTTTATGTATTTGATAAAAACTTAATGCATGCATGAAATTCTCAAAATACTCTATAAATTCAAAAAATAATTAATAAACCTTAAATTCATTGTTGCCCGTTGTTATTCTGGATACGTTGTTTACCGTAGTTAGGATGTCAGCGTTTATTCTGTTAGCTTACTTCTATAAGGCATTTTTTTACTACTTAATTATTTCCGTTCTTATATATGAGTTTTTTTAGCAAAATGAGTGGTAATCGCTCAAACCAATAATTTCTAACGACAGCAGGACAATTTATGGCAATTGGACAGCACCATATTTCAAATTAATGAGTGCTCTGGCGCAATAAGTACACTATTATCTTGTAATTAAAATTAGAAGAGGAATTACGATGTTCAAATATCAGTATAAAAGTATTTAAGTTTAATTATAACTCTTATACTGACTTTTTGTACTCTTTCCTCTGGTAGTCTTGTCTTCATTGCTTTGTTTGGGAACCGTATTTTGCAGGGATATATTTTTTGCACTGCATTTCATGTCTATTAGTTAATCGGAAGTGTCAATGAAAAAACTATCACCTATCTGCAGCTTACAAAATTATTGAAGGTTATAAAATGCACTGCAGCCGTTATACTGTTATATTATTTTTGACCCTCAATCAAAAAACTATCGCTAAATAAATAACATTAATTACTATATTGAAACATTCTAAATGCGTTAAACGATGCATTAATAAGTAAATGTAGGAAAATAATTTTACATTTGATTTTAATCAACATTTGAATCGTGACTACCTTTAAATTTTTAGTAAAACATCCGCAAAACCGATAGATACTGAAATTTCCATATTTGCATGATTCGCGAACATCACGGGAACGGGAATCAATAACTGATACTAATATGAATTAATTCAAATTAGCAGCAAATAACAGATATTTCATACGGATCGGAATGAACAGCAAAGATAGCCGAATAAATAAAGGTGCATCGTTAAGGAGATCACCCGCATGGAGCAGGGAAGCTCGCCCCTTGAATCGTGCACGCGATAGACACGGAGAAAGTCACTGCATTGTTGGTGGAGGTCATGATCATCGTGTAGGTGGAGGTGAACGATCGCCACACAGTCAGGGCGAGTCGCCCAGATCTTTCTTCGTCATTTTTGTCTTCCGTGATCGCTCCTAAGTCGTCTAGGGCGGCGGGTGACGCGTCTAAGTTCATTGAACCGTCCACGGCTGGCGCCGAGCTGCAAATGTTAACAAATTATATTTAAATAAATCAATTCTTTATTGTCAATTGGGTCGAAATGACAGAAGAACTGTTAATGTACATAAAAATAACAAATTAAATGGTTTTTACATTCTATAGTGAACCGAGACAACTTGAATTGTAAAATAAGCTATTCCAAAAGCTTATTTAACGTAAAAATTATCGTTCTGGAATAAGAAATAAAATGATGACAAACAGGTTGTCATAAAATTATCTTACCACTGATACCTTTTTTTTTTGCCCAGCCTCATATAGGCTAATAGGGAAAGAGTTTCTCGAAGATTTTAATCCACTTGCAAGATGTCTAACTCACCCTGTTTTTTCTGTTTATTTAATTGTATTTAGTTAGGGTTTACTGGGTTGGATTAGTTTATGACATACTTTATTAATTGTAATTTGTAATCTTTTTCTGGTTTCAATGCTAGTCATTACGATATATTGCCATGTGCAGGTAGTTTTCAGTTATGAAATCCAATTTAATATATTCTTTCCGAACGCCATTTCGTGAATTTCACTATGAGAATTTTCGGACACTATTTTCTTAGTAGTTTACATCTTCTATTCATTTGCATTCTGTTCTTAGTATTTCCGTGATACTCCAAGCCGAATTAGATTATCATATCAAAAACGTAAAGACAATTACTGCGGTCAGACGTAGGTATGTGTACTCGTAAGTTCTGTAACAAGTATAGCCCAAAACTGATGAACATGCAGCGTAAGTGAAATACAATAATTATCAGAGGTGGGCAATAGCGCGCTACATATAGCGGTAGCGGTAGCGGCGCTACATTTAAGCAATTGTAGCGGTAGCGGTCGCTACATATCTAAGTAGCGATACGAGTAGCGAAATGTAGCTACCGCTACATTTATAGATAAAGCCTTTAGATTTTACTTAATAGTATTAAATATTATTTAAAAACAAGCATGATACATATATAATATAAATTACAGAATAAAACTGTACGAAAGATTTCGGTGTAATGTTGTCAACCTCAGCCTGTTACTAGTGTCAACATGTTAGTTGTTACCAGAGGTGGGCAGTAGCGCGCTACATGTAGCGGCCGCTACTATAGAGGCCTCTACATTTTCAGTAACGGGAGCGCAAACGGCGCTACATTTCAGCAATTGTGGCGATAGCGGTAGCGCCCGCTACATTTAGAGCATGTAGCGGTAGCGGTAGCGTACATTTCAAAGTAGCGCTGCCCAGCTCTGATAATTATACTGAACATTTTTCGCTATAGGGGATGTGCACTGTGGAACTACTTCAAAAGCCATAGATGTCACAGAGTTCGTGATAGAATGTTTAGTCTAGTTAATTTTTTAACTATTTCTATATTGGGATGTTTTTAAATGGTTGAAATTGTTTTCAATTGTTAATTCCATGTTGGGATGCATCAGCAAATTTGTCATATCCCACGCAGTCTCTTTCCGGACTACAGTAGGAAATGACGAGAAATTACTGGAAAATATGATAAATTCCAAGATAAATTCGCAGCACTTCCATCATAGTAATGTACTGTGTTTACCTGCCGTCAGTGAGGTGAGGCATGAGGCTGAATTTCCGGCCTCCATATCTGCGTCTTTTCTTGCACGCCACGGTACCCTGAACCGCTCTGTTGCACGTCAGAGGCACCGTCGTGATGGACGTGACGAAACTCAGCTGCGTCCACGTGCTGATGGCCGCGATGAGGCGCGCGTCGTCCGGTGATACCGTGCGGGGCGATAACGCTGAACTCCCCGATGAATCTGATTAAAATCGGTTGAAATAATATCACCACTCGAGTATAATTCGTGGGCGTTATCATGAAAAATCGAGTAGTAACTTAAAATCAGTCCATAATTCAAATAATAATGTCAGGAAAAGAGCATACCAAGAATTTTAAAGCCGCCCAGCGAACGGCAAGTGGATGATGAACAACTGTTTTCAGCATTTTCTAACCGGCTATGTAAGAAAAGACTTGAAAATATCTTATGCCTCTTAAAATTCTTGCATTTAGACCTTAACTCTTCAGAGAGTACAAAAAAACTAACTAAACGGCAATGCTTTATTGTACAAAATTCCGATTGGCTATTCAAAACAAAAATGCTGATGAAATAATAAGCCATAAATTGCGTTCGAATCAAATGATCCGCCATCGAAAAAACAAGTGAAACCAAACATAGAAAGATTCACACACGCAATAATAACTTGAATAAAATAATTAAAAGTTTCACTTCAGGCCTTTTTACCCATAGAAAAATTCACAAATTAATGCCTGATGTCACCTTTGTCAGCACGGCCCAGAACTGGAGCGAACAGTCAGCATCGACAGCGAGAACTATTTACGATAACAGTGAAGATTACAACATAGTTGTCTATAATTTCATAAGACCCAATCCGCTGATAATATCACTCTGTACGTGCATGAGCTTCACCATGGTTACAAAAATTCTAAGTAATAAGAGCAACAATTACCTTACCTTCAACAGAACCATGCGCGATAGCTACTACGATTTGCGATATGAGGAGAAGAGATGGGAGCCAAGGCAGACGCCTCATTTTCGAAAATTAACAGTTTTTTATTAGAGTTCCCAGGAATTTTTGCGTGTATTCTCTAGCTGATTATTCAATGTTAATTTTTTTCGGACTATATGTTATCCTGCTCGGTGTATCTGTAACTCCTTGGGTATTAAACGGATGTCTGTTAAACATATTCATTTATGAATATTTTTGCGGCTCTATGTTTGTTTGAACGATTATTAAAAATGTTCTACAATATTTTTGTTAATCTGACGAGCCAGAGCAAAATTGCGCATAGCGATCAAGTTAAAAACATCGCATGAGATTGAACGGTTACATGTGGATGTTTTGCAGAATTAAGTTGCAGTAAGTTTCATTAGCATTGTAAAAAATTATCTATCTAATTATTTAATCAAGATGATCTTAAATTAATTGTACTTTTATTTAATTAACAAAAGTCACAGTTGTACACAACAAGGGGACAAAATTATTGTTCACAATTAATGCACTTGCTCAAATTAAATAGATGAAAGTTTTTCGGCTTCAGTTTCAAGTCGGTTAAAAGATTGTGACTGCAACACCCAACTTCATATTATTATACGCGATACTATAAGATTAACTTGGATAAAAATCGAACCAAAATATTAGAATATTTTGACTAAAAAGAAATAATATTCTAATTCAAAATGAAAACTTAGTGAATAGAAGGAAAGTTGAAAGAAACGTAAAATCTACGGGTTTATCATTGACATTTCATTTTACTGCAATTTTTGAAACTTTGAATTGATTTTTTTTTAGGCTATGGAAAAGGACAAAATAAGAAAATCGTGCCAATTACAGGAAAACGGGAAACTATTTACAGGGGAAACGGGAAAACGGGAACAAATTTTCCTGGTGTCAATGCAATTTTCTAACTTAAATTATGTTCTAAAATAAGAAGAAGAACGTTTAGAACAGTTACTTCGTTAGTATTTCATAATCTTCTTTCTTACTAGATTTAACCAATTTTTTAACCACGATTTTTCCTGGACAAAAGATGGCGTTAAGAACTTAAAAGTAATCCAAATCAGGCCTTTCCATGTGTTTTTTATGCCGCCATTCGTTGTTGGACAATAAAACAATTTAGGAATTTCTGAGTAGCGCTATCGATAGATAAAATTAAAAATTTCTTAAATTCATCGACCGCAATCAACAAGAAATAAATTATGTGATAGAATTACTATATCCGGAACGACTGCACCAGTCTGTTTCGGCATATTATGATAAACAACGACTCAAGTGCGCAGATATTATCTGAATGTCACTTATCGAAAGCTCCTGTGATGCTATAGTGAAAGGCCGGTCGTCCTCACTACTTATACCCTCCCAAGCAATACGTTGTTCAGTCATTTTTTGCCCTCGCTGATTTAACGATTTAAATGCCGAGAATGAAAAACTGAGGAGGAAACTTGTTGCGAGAAGCAACAATGTATTTTTCTCATCTTCTAGTTTGCTGTTTTTTTATACGCTTATGCATGAGCAGAAAAAAACGACTTTGACTTTTTATTGTCGATGTCTAGTCAGAAAAATTGATGAGCTTACGCGGCCTCTTTCCTTATTATTGCTTATGGTTTCTTCCTGTAGAGAATAACTCTTGTTTTTGTGCTAAGACATCCTAAGAGATGTCACTGTGCTGAAACTGGCTTTAGAGTTATCCAGCTGAAGCAGGAGCTAGAGGACCCATTAAAAAGTAAGCAAACTCAGTAACGACATTAACGTCATGGATAAATTTGGTTCTTATAAAACCTATGTCCATCAGCAATGGCGCCACCTGCATTGAGGGCCCAAGTGTTGAGAGCACCTGTTGTGCGGCTACCAGCATTGAGAGCCCCAGCGTCGGGAGCACCTGTTTTGCAGCTACCTGTTTTAAGGGTACCAGTGCAGAGGACGGTACACCTATTCAGCAGCAACCTGTGTCGAGAGCACTTGTTTTGATGCTACCTGCGTGGTGGGTACCAGTGTTGAGGGCATCTGTTCACAAGCTACCTGTTGCGGCTCACTTTTTTATCGGCTGAATGTGGTGCGACTATACACATGTTGCGGCAACCTGCATTGAGATTTTCAGCGTTCCGGCTACCAGTGTTGCGGCTGCGTGATTAATATTCCTGTATCGAGGCTGCCAGTATTGAGTTTACCAGTATTGCAGCTACCTGTGTTACGGCCAGCAGTCTTCATAGTTACATATTTTATGATATTTACATCAACGTTGTCACTGACTGAAGTCGATACAGTCGCAATAGCGTCGTTCGTGGAATCGTTGCGTCTCAGCCGCCTGCTGGGTGCAGATTGCATGAAAATTTTATCAAAGTGTGAAAAGTGAAATTTTGGAAACTCCAGCTACTGTCATCGCTAACGATGAATGAGGAAACACGATGCGGGAATATAACCCTCGGGAAAGATTTGGCACCTCTAATTTTACATCATATTAGCAAAATAGTTATTCGTGATCGAATTAATCTACTGAATAACCGGCCAATTCTTTGTAATAAATGTCCACACATTATTAATTCCACCTCGCAGGAAGATAATTAGTTCGTGTAGATATATGTACCTATGTGTTTGAACGATTTTTGCGATGTGTCACATGTTGTACGCTCTATATAGATTGTTGGTAGTACTGCATACATTTAAACAGATGTTCAAACAGCATTCCGGTGCACAGAAAAATACGCTTTACGACTGAAAATCTTATAATTTGGGACAAATCATAACTCATACTTCCATTTTTGCAGCTAGCGAGTCCAGATGCTTGCTAGACGAGCCTTCCCTTCTGTTTTGTTGGCTTTTGTTGTCTTCAGACTTTCAGGTAAGAACCGAACTTTCAACCAGAACCAGGCTGTCTATTACTTGACATAAGTTTTATCTCATATAGACGGAACTAGAACCCGAGTACTACGAGTATTTAAATCCACAAGAAGATTATATATGTGATTATATTTGTGTAAATTCGCCGTCTACGCAATCAGTTATATGATATTAGTATGTTGATTTGCTTATTTATCGTGTCTATTTTGAAATTGTAAGTTTTTCCGTCAATTAATGGGTGAAGTGAAGCATGATGTGTACAGAATTTCTTCGATGTCACCGTTAGTGCAAAAATTTCGGAACAATGTTCGCAAATCGACTGACTGTCTTCGTTGACCGCTCACACAAGAATTGCAATCAAGTTTACTATGATATAGAAACCCTACGTCAACTTAGTGAAGTTTTCCCACATGGTTTTAGTGTTATGAACGTGTACTCAGAAAAAAGAATGGGTCTTATTATTCTTAAAGTGACAACCGCTCAAGTAGACAGCAGACTGACTGATGCTCACTTTTGTCCGGCTGAACTGGGTCAGGATAGGCAAAAATTGCATCAGTTTTTGAATAGAGTATAAACCATTCTTTAGTGTACACCTAGTGCTTTGATATCAGGAATATATAATCCAACCATATTTAAATCAGCAATTTCTTTCAAATGATTTTAAATTATACATGGAAACAGGTGCACAGCTGGATGAAGAGCGAGGCCGTTTCCTAGGTGCCCTGAGCACCATCACGCACCTCTCGATCGTCACCACCACGTCCACCATCCCTTACACCTGCTACACTTCGTTCGCCACCACCACGTGCGGCAGGAGGAAGAGATCCCTTGGACAACTCTTACCTCATGACGGAAGGTTCGTACACGACAGCGACTACATTTTGCAAGGTATTGTCTTGAACTCACGTCATTGGACTCGAGCTTTCAACACAACACAGAATACACTTACAACAGAAACACTGACAATAAACTAACTCACTCACAATTCCCTAAAAGTAATTATCAAGTGGACAAGGAATTCAATAATTATGAAATATCGAACAAATTCTATAAAGAAAATAAAATTGCACAACAACGACCACTTTCTGTCACGGTAATTCTTATGACGTGCTAATAACTTCTTCAAACAACACCGAAGTACAAAATAACCAAAGAAGAGAGCTTAACTAATTAACAACAAATCTTCTTTAACATAACGAAATACTACTTTTACACTACAATGATTTCAATTGTTGCATCAATAATTTTGATGGGCTAGGACATTTTCCAGCTGAAACGACCAAAATATGCAGCACTTGTGAAAATAAAAAATCTTCAAGCTAGACCGCCTAGGGCCGGCTGGAGGAATTAGCTTGTACGTAGGGTCGTTCTGTCCTAACTAAACCAACTTAGCCCACAGCTTCTAAACAAAACCAACTTCAGCCCACAGTGCCTTAGAAATTAAACTCAAAACATTCTAGCTAAATCCGATGAATCACTTGGAATGCAATAACCGCTGTTACAAAATTTGTTTTTGGCAATAATTTGTTATCGTCGCCAGCCTATAGCTAGATTTTTATCACACATGGAAAAAGAGTATTAAAAAAGGATTAAAGAAAGAAGCTCCTACACCCTACAGCATTGACCGCCATTCATGGAAATCGAATAGCCTGTTAGTGATGTATTTGTTAATCAATATAAAAACATTTAATCGTGGACAGCGAGATTTGTTGTTAACAATTTGAACTTTTGTATAAGTTATTTAGGAAAACCATTATTTACTACTCATTCCTCTTTATTTTACCTTGCCGAGCGAGAGCCAATGATCTAACACGATTTTTCGTCGAAACGTAATTCAATGGATGTTCTATGGTTAAATGATCTGTAAAGAATCATTAAATATATATAAAACTCCTTCAATCGTTCATAGAGAGATTATTAACTCGATGTAGGAAAATCTAACTTCAAAGCAAATGCCAAGCGCAAATTAAGATTCAAACTAGGCTACAAGCGACGCTGTGGCGACAACACACTCCTGCATTCACTCCGCAACTTCCTTAGCATTCTAGATCTGTTCCGTGTAAATGGATAGTAACGTGTCATTCCTGTTTAATATAAGTTGACTGGGTCGAAAATGGGATTTAGTTTTCAAACCTTCGAGCTGCGTTCCTAATCCATCCAACTCAATACCTGATTATTTTTCAACTGGCAACGGCACGGCAAAAACTGTGTGGGTCAACACTGATAAATGTTTCAAGATGACGAGTGAGGTAAAATCATTTTAAGCTTTGTACTTTAATACATTTTCATGATCGGGAGAATGATCGCTCAGTAACCAAATTCTCGGCAGGTTGCCCACTGCCCCAGCACTGAGCGGATCGCTGTCTGAGGCCGCCCATGTAGTCCAGACACGCGCGGCGGTGACCGAGGAACACGTCGGGGAAAGAAAAGGACGCTTCGCGGTGACGGTGTGGACTTCAGTAACTACCACGTACACGATGATCATGACGACTACTAACTTGTCGACGACATATTCTGTGTCCATCTTGTGTAGTGTGGCCGGGGCGACGTTCCCTAATACGTGCGGGTGATTAAAGGAAGGTAAAGACTGATGGAGCAAAATGTGGGCTAGCGATTTTCGATTCCAAGTCTAAATTGATTGAATGTATTTACATTAAAACACATTGTTTCATCGTCCATTTTTGACGTTTAGAGTGAGTAATTGTAATTCAACATTTACTCGGATAATCTAAAAAATCATACATTTTGAAATAACGCATATTTTCGGTTGAAAGGTAAATTGGCAAGGCAGTAGATTAAAATTCAATCAACAAGAAAATCTCAACATTTCGCTACCAAATTCAAGGCAAATAAAATGCATTTCGAACATCCGAATTTTATTCCAGAGTAATGCCGTTGAGAAACGTCAATCAAAACACAACATAAACCAATACCAGTCAAATGTCGCTCCCTTGAAACCTATAGTACGTTAGTCCAGGACAAAATCTAACATAAGAAAACGTATTTTACAGCTTTAACCTGTTAATAAATTTCTGCACTAATGGAGAAGGGGATAATCATCGAGTCTTTAATTGCAGAATTTAGTTGATCTAGTTTTCGCTTGGAAAATTAGGCCTGCCCTAACTTTGATCCGCTCATACGCAACAAACGAGTCTTCTTTAAATTAACGAAGCGATCCATAATGGTTATTATCAAACAAAACTTATCCATTTGGAAGAAAACATGAAATTATAATGGCTTCATTTGAAGAACAAAAATCTGCAAATTAATTTCAATTGATTACTGGGCATGAAAAGGTCGCATGAGGTGCACAGGCAAGCTACGAACAGGAACGTGGGTCTTAGGGTACACCTTAACACCTAACCTAACCTAACATCAACGCCGCATTCTCTTGACTAGTTCACACCGCGGCCACACGCAATACATTCACTTATTTGTTGGTTTTAGAACCCCAAAAATATAGATTATATGTAAATGTGTGCAAGAATGTGGCAAAAATTATAATTTTATAATAGTTAGACGTCAAGTTAGCAAAATTGGGAAATCAAATATACGTTATTGGGCCAAGTCATGAAGGATCCGTAGCATCCTAGATATCAAAGGGGACAAGAAGTGGGGGGATGGAAGTTAATGGAGCAGAAATAAAGACTGACAAATAGTTCATACATCATTGCTTACGGTGTCTGAACTGGGATGTGAGGTGAGCACATCTGAAACACTTGCTAGCACAGTCTTTCAGTTGGAGTATAATTAACAAAAAGCTAGTCTCGATGAATCAGCAACTTATGCAGAAAAGCTACATATAAAACAAACTGTAAACATTTTTAAAGAGTCACAAAATGTATTCAAAAATGTTAAATGACTCTGAAGCGTTCCACTAGTTATTTTCATCGTGAATTTCCATTATCCGCCATACAATTAAAACGACAAAATAAGCAAGCTCCAAAAAGGAAGCTAGCCATGAGAGATAATACGCTGTTTGAACGATGTAAGGCGTAAAGTGCCTTTCATAAAGTGACCCGAACATTTTTAATCTCAAGTAAAACGCTAAGTCAACAGAGCGTTTCTGTTAGAATATACCATCTATGCCTTAGAAGTTAAGCTATAAGGTTCCTTAATTAACTAGGAAAGTCACATGAGTTTGTGCAGGGAATTCAGCCCGGTTGGTCTATGGGCCGTAAGAGCAAGGAAAGTTATAGAAAACCTTAACATTAACAGCCAACAACAATACATGACAGCACGGGCTACATAAAGGGTTGAAGGTAAAACACCGTCAAACTCAATACAGAACAATACTGGCAATTGCAAACTACATATTAGAGATCAGAACCTGGGCTAATGTTTTCAGATCTAGCTGGACAGTTGATGTACTGACAATACTCTACTGATGGCAACAATAGAATTTCATGTGAAATTGAAACTCTCCATGTCTTGAAACACGGAATCAAAATAACTAATTTAATTCCGAGCAGGATATTCTAAATCCACAAGTAACAATTCACTCGCAACTATGCAGGACTAAAGATCTCGTCGGAAATTAGCTCGTACATATTGCAGCAGATATCATAATCTCAAAGAACACCAAGCCTGACGAGCGGCTAATTTGTAAATGAATCATTATACTGACTTTTACTTTGTGAACGGTTCGTTTCCGCAACACAAGAGCATAGCAAAAATGATTTGAACAACAGCATATTAATAACAGATTGCGTACGTTACAAGGTTTGTCTATAAATTGCATTATGTAGTCCCATTAAAAGCAGTGCCTCATACATTCAATCTTCTTGTTCAGACTACAAAAATCAGCTAATGGAAATTTTCAAGCGTCGACATTAGCGCAAGAACACATGGAATATTCAACGCAACCATCGCGATCACTGAGGTCTTTTGCCTGACCATAGCTTCAATATTTTCCCCACAGTATCTAGGAAAATATTTTGCACAATGCAAATGTATAGAAAAATATTGTAGAACGCATACCACCAGAAGGTAGGAATTATTGCCTAATAAATGTAATTTATATGACAATAAATAACCTCTATTATAGAATAATATTCAGAGATTAAATAATAATTCGTGTATCATTTCATGCAAATAAATCATACACGAATAACATTTCATACGATAATTTGTTTCTTCTTTCAATGATAATATAGTCAAGTCTCTCAACTTGAATAAATGCAAAGGACAGAGTTAACGAGGACTCGGGCAACAATATCACAGGCTACTATGTCCACAAGACGGATCTTGATTGACATAAAAAATTATTCGGGAATATAAAAAGCTAATGACGATGATGTGAACACAATGGGATTCTGCGTTTTTTCGTTGACTAGTAACGAAACATATTAGCAGCTAATGAACTTATTTCCTGCCGACTTCCTGGTGAAGGCAAGTTCAGGACGACTAGACACTGCAATTAAAACGCAGAAAGTATGACAAATTAGAAGGTACAGGAGGTAATGCGTTATGAGATCGTAGTTCATATAAGTTATCTATATTTAATAAAGAAATATTGTAATTATTCCTAGTAATATTACGAGATCTGTCCCTTATTAGACTAGGCAAAGTAAGTTAACACGATCCAGGACGAGGCGTGTTTCTAGTTCAGTCGTAAATGAAGAACTATGATCGACTAGAATAACTGAGTAAATAAAAAACAATCGTAACGAGATCAAATTCATGAGCTGGAGTGAGTCAAGAAACGAAACTTAACAGAAAACTTCATCTCTGCATGAATTCTTGCGCAACTGTAAAACCCTCAAGAAGCTCTCAATAACGCCAAAAATTTCCGAAAAAATTCCTTAAAGAGCGGGTATTTGTATTGCCTACTAGAAATTTGCTCACACGTACATTACAATACATTTGTTCGTATGGTTATATGACAAAACAGTTCAAAATGACCAGTAATGCGCGTAACTAGCAGTAAGAGCAAATTTCATCAAAAATACGGGGCGATTTTCTGAAAGCACCCAAACAATACCATCGTTTCCTCATAAGCTAGTGACATGCAAGTGAAGTGGCACCAAGATCGATATATATTCATTTCAAGTACGATAACATAACCGTTAAACTCTACATAGATATTTCCTCTCTCAATCTTACATGTTAACACTTAACACTGATGGTTTAATAGGATTGGAATCACATTACCATCTATAAAAATCACCAAGGACATCAGTCCAAAATTAGGCCAAGCCCAAAAAATGGCATCATCAATACAATCAACCAAGTGCTTCATTTGCATCACAATTGCACAATCTTGCTCGTCCGACAACATTGGTGTCGAGCATCTAATAATAGCGTACAAAAACCAAAAAAAAAAAAAAAAACTACTCGATAAAGTTTATGAACCGATCAGCAAAGGATAATTTTTATATCCAAAATGGGATACATGTCAATATTTCAGAGCTCTTGGTGCGAATCTACATGGAGAAGACGAAAGCTAGGGAACTTAACACCAAGTGCAGGATTCAATAACTTAATACATACCTTACAAGGAGTCTCGGCTAAGCCATCAAGTGTGGCAATTCCTATTGTATTCACGTACATAGGGCAAAAGAGTGTACTTTGAGTCATGTGAGACGAGAAAAAATACCTAGCAACATCAACATGCGAGGTCATCAATAAAAACCAAATAACACGATGAAATCAGGCCAAGGTGAAAAAGTTCGTAAATGAAAAGTATGAACATTTCATGTCAATGAAATTCGAAACAGCATCCCGTAACACGACGATTAGGTCAAATGAGAGTGGCAAGCATAATAGGGTTCGAAATAAATCTAGTTTGCGTGACTTGAATTTGGGATTATATTTTAACGCACCGGCACTCAATTTGATAGAATAATTAGGACGGCATATGGAAGAGAGATAACTTTGTTATAGAAATGAAATTGTGCAGAGTCTAACAAGTCCTTAACCAATATTTCAGGCGCTACGAAATATCGCCAACAACAAAAAAAAATCCTCTGGATCATAGCTTCAACCTTCCAACATAACATAAAAAATTCCTCAGGAAAAAAATATAACAGGTGAATAACAAATATTTTCAACAACTTATCTGAGAGTTGAGTCTATTCATTGACAATCAAAAGCCATATCAAATGCACAACTAAACTTTGGCTTAGAAAATTGTACACGATTATAGGCTGAAGAACTTCAAATATGATCTTCGCGAGACTGACACTTGAAAAGTTGAATTCCACAATGAGCATTTGGTCGTGTCTCGAGTAGAGGAATGCAATCTATTGGCGAAAGCTTGCTGCCTATGTACTGCAAAGAACGCGTGAAGCTGTTACCAAAGAAAGCTTCATCAGGTGCATTTAACTTGCCACGCAACATAGACGCAGGCAACGAACTTTGCAAGTGTGTCGTCATAGGAAGATGTTGACCAATTTCTTTTTTATCACATGTTGGATAATTAATAAAACGGTGTAGAACAGGGAGAGTGCGTCTGGCTCCAAGGAGCGTTGAGGCATCGCCACCATCAGCAGAATGTTGGCGGAAGCGAGGCCAATAAATCTTCTGGGAATTATCTCGGCCACGGCTGCAATTATATTCCTGCTCTTCATTGCGAAGTTGGTCGATCATGCGAACATCGCCTGATTCAAATGGAGCTTCAGGAACACTACTGTATTTTGTATTGAAATTAGTAGCGAAGGAATCCACACTTCGAGGCTTATGATCATGAAATAAATGAGAATTTTTCCCAAATTCGCTACGTCGATATCGGTGGAATGCTGATGGAGAATGTAGCCGTTCAAGGGGAGAAAATGATGGCTGAATAAGGTCAAGTTTACGTTGATGTTGCTTGTCTACTTGACCTCTGAAACTGTTCCGAGACCCGCTTTTCGCCGCTTGATCGCTGCAGCGGTGTTTGGCAGCATTTTTCTTACTCGGGTTATAAAAATCAAGTACATTTGCCCTATTGAATGGATCATCAGTGAAGGGCAACAGGCGCGGCGAACTATTTGAGAAGTTTCTATCCGGCATTCCACGAATCCATTTGTGTCCCAGAGCACTGCGGTTATAACGACAATCGCGATACTCGCAATCCCCGAACAGCGTCCCCTCGTTCCATTTCACTTCATCTACATCCAAGCAATCACTAGAATTAGGAAGAGAAATAGGCCGGTCACAGATTCCATCAAAGACACTTGACTCTGTCATGCCAAATTTAATTTCTGAATCTAGTCGAGAGAGCTCTTGAGGTTTGTTCTTGCATCGTAAGCTGCTGAAGAACCCATTATCGGTAAGTAATTCATTTTTCGAGGCTGTTCCGCTCGGCATTTCCAAATCGAAGCTTTTTTCTTTTCTTAACGAAACATTTATCTCGTTTGACGAGACTCTGCTAGAATGTTGGCGATTGCCACCCCTTTTCTTCCTGAGAGAGCTTCTTGAGGGTTTTTGTTTCGTTATTTTAGGCTTATGGTTTGAATGACAGTCAGGTGCTTTTGGGACAATCTTTTCTGTGTTGCTTTGTGTTACGTGATTTTGTAATTTAAAGTGAGAAACAACTGGAGTAACTTCATCAACAAGATCGGCAATGATACTATCGGTCTCCTCATTCGATGTAGCCAATAAAACTTCCTGCAAGCACGTCGATTTTTCACGAGCTTTCATTGAGCTTTTTTCCTCAGTCGCTGAAGTCTTGGGCACGGTTGTCAATTTCACTGTTCCAAGATGAGAATTTTGGGCGTTGCGAACAGTCGTTAGTTTAGCGAATTCGTTTTCCGAATCTTGTTCATCTTGATTGAGAACGTCCGAATCATCCTGCTCACTCGTTACCACCTCACAATTGAAATTGTTCTTCTTCTTTAAAACAATATTACCATTCTCATCCCACTCCACGTCGACACCGTCCAAGAAACGGAAAGGCTCATCCACATTTTGGGAGTTTCCCAAACACCAGTCAGGAAACTGAACACGTGGCCCACCTTGGAACTTTCCTGATCCATTTTCATTTCTCGTCGACTTACTTAGAGGCGCGGCATCTCCGTCCCGAGGTCGCTCACTTCCGTCCAAGTCTTGTACTAATTCACCTTTGCTAGTGGTTTGGCCGGAGGTATTTTCTACAAGACCGACTTGGCAGGCGCCGCGCGCTTGCTTTACACAAATTGATGACGGTTCACTTGAGCTTGTGGGTCTTTTCTTACCAGACACACGAATGATTGGTTTGTCATCAAAATTGGATGCATCATCATGGTTTCTATTGTTATTTAACGCGCTCGAGTGGGCAGATTCTGTTCGCTTCTTCAAAAGAACTGGAGACAGCTTTTCAGAAGCTGAGTCCAAGCCACGTGTTTCTCTGGCAGACATAATCTTTGCATGGTATTCAGTACCGAGTAAAGCCGATTGAAGGGGTGCAATTCCAGAGATTTTCGAGGGTTTAGCTGATGCCAACCGCTGCTGACCGTTTTCTTTACTTTGATCAGAGTCGGTATTAGTGCCCGACACGTCCTGAGATGATTGTGCCTCCCCGTACTTGTGAGTGTCTCGACTGATTATAATAACTTTCTGATACTCAACGTGGTTGGGTTCACTGGAGGACCGATCGCGTGCAGATTTCAGCGGCGAAGACTTGGCCGCGAACTTTTTCATCATTGTATTGTTCTTCTTTCTGAATGGAAATTCGTTCCGGTTCGTTGCAGTAAGTGGCTCAGGGACCTGGAAAATTAGGGCTTGGTTGAGAACAAAGAAAACTTCAGACAAGCGAAGCTAACCCATAAGACATTTAAAGTTAAAATAGAACGGCAGATCGTACTCACAAGACTCAGATGACTAGGATGTTGACCAAAAAACTTTTACGCGCTCCCTTCACATTGCATTATATTACGAATTCCAAAGAGCAGACGCTCTCTTGGTGACAGAATTTACGGCGTGGAAATTAAATAAATCGTTCAGCTTCTAAAACAACAGAGACATGGAAAAGAGATACTTTATTTCATGGTTCAAGAAGAAATGCATTAGGTGGTCAGGGTATTCCCGATAGCCAGCGATATGCCAAACATTCTGATCAATATGGTACAAATTATGCTTAAGGGGAGCGTCTTGGTCCGAAAAAAACTTTTTTATTTACGGACGGATCACTTCGCAATTTAATACACGTATGTAAAACGCAATTCTAAGACTTTTTTGTTCATGTGAATTTTTCGAAAAAATGAAAGAAAACGAGAAATTATTAGAAAACGGACAAAAAGGGGGTACTGTAGAAATATCAGCGGACCTAGGATTTTCAAGCTACAACATCGAGACACATATCATTCGATGCGTAAAGACCATATCTACAAATTGATGTAGGCGTTTTTTGAAATTTAAATTTTGTGGGTGTGGGAGCATTTTTTGTAAATTTTTCGGAAATTTTTCGATTTTACCCCATTCCACCCCCCCCTTTTTGCAAAATAAAATACAAACTATAACGAAATTAGAAAAACGCCTACAACAATTTGTAGATCTTTTCTTTGCGAATCGAATGGTATATGTCTCATTGCTGTAGCATCGAAACTGTAGGAGTAAATAGGTTTCCAGTGACAATAAGTGTGAATGTTCAGTAGAGTCCGACAAAGTCCCGGGCGCCTCGAAATCGGCATTCAACACTGCAAAGAATGAGACTAGACGATACTGGAGCTCAATTTCTGTCAAGGATGGTACGAGCGACGGTGCAATAACCACCCCGTACGACTGCAGCAAGGTTACTGGAGCTGAGTGTCTGTAGATAAGTGATTTATAGAGCACTGCGGGAATTATTACCCATCTTAAATGTGAACGCATAAATCAACGTACAGAAATGGTTTTGGTACCGTTGGATAGGTCAGAATGTCAGCTTTAAGATGAGACTAAAAACAGGAAAAGCCTAAATTGCCGATTTTGGACCAAGACGCTCCCCTTAAAAAAAGCATTAGCCATAGAGACGCACAAGTCATACTATGTATTCCAATCTAAACCAATCTAAATGGAGAGGAACGCCAGTCAATTGCTAAAAAGGTTGAAGGAATCAAAGCCGACTGACCAGCTGAACGCACGAGCGCAGGTAAGCGGACGCTGGAAATTTCGTGCACACTTCCGGGATCGTCTCCAGACGCGCAGGTTTTGATTTCAACGTGAAACGTCCTCCATTGAAACGACTTCTAAATCCACTACACCTTCGGCTACGTGTGCTCTGATACTTGGGGTTGAAAGAACAAAAATAGGCTTCGTTGTTAATATTTCTTTCAGTACTGTAACGCTGTGGGCAGAGGTCTTTCGGTAATTGACCACAAAAGTTATCGATGATCTTCCGAGGGCATTTCATGGAGAATTGATGAAGATCGTTGGTTCCAAAATTATTGAAATTAGGCAAATCACCGCACGGAGCACGAAAACTTTTCCTGTTTTCAAAAAAGTTACTATTGTGCAAGGAGAGATCTCTACCGCCCGATCGACTGTTGTGCCAAGCGCTCGTAGGATCCAAGCCATCAGAATTAGAGGGAAGTTCACAGGGGTTCTGAAGGCGAAAACACGAACGCTGCGAATTCGTATTGGACTGATCAGGGCGCTTTCCTCGCATTCTGAGAAACCTTTGAACAGTTTGCTGTTGCTGCTGATGTTGCTGTTGCTGCTGATGTAGCTGCTGCTTATGTCGTTGTTGCTGCTGCTGATTTTGTTGCTGCTGCTGATTTTGTTGCTGCTGACTTTGTTGCTGCTGATGTTGCTGTTGCTGTTGTTGTTGCTGATGCTGCCCTTGTTGCTGTCTGGAAGCAGTGCCCGAGCTGCTGTTAAGGGGTGGGTGGAGAGGGTGGAGGGGATGCGGGAAGTCGTGTGGACGGACTTTAGCGAAACTGATATTTAAATTTTCAAGAATGGCGCGTCGACAGCTCTCCACATTGGCCACCAACTCTAGGTCGTTGTCGCAAAGCTGTATGAGAATAAAAATTTTATTTAATCTCAATTTTCCCTCGCGTGTGCATGCATTGACAAAAATATCCAAACGATGTTGCATCTTCTTTATGATAAATCAAAAACTATTCAAACATGATACCATACCGAAAACCATGCCAATAAATCAACAGCTTTAAAATGCAATCAGTAAAAAACTTACCTCTAGAAGCGAAGGCGAGGAATGAGCTCTAAGGAGCGTGTAGTGGAAAAGCTTGCCGTCGAAGAAGGCCCAGGGGGCGACGAGCCACCACGCGACGGGCCCCCCACACGCGTCGTTAGCGAAAATAGCGACTTCGACGCCTGCCATGACGAGGCCGGCGACCTGCACCCCGCGGCTGCTGAGTGTCGGCAGCTGCAGCTCTTGCAGGAAGCCTGCCCGGGGCAGCACGCTCGAGAACGCTGTCACCAGGAACGCGTCCAGCTCTTGGCGCGTGAGAACGCAGCCTTCGCTGCCGCTTATCAGATATCTGCACGACAAGAACACAAATCTAATGCTGAACATGGACAAAGATGGGTAAGCAATGCTTGAATAGTTCTTTCCCAATCGTCTCTTGTCATGAAAGTAGATAGGAAAGCGATGACCAAAGAAGCGATAGGTTTTTATAAATAGTAAAAATTTGATGCGATGATAAGTAACATTGAGCTAGACAGTGCCAAGATACCTGAGAACGGCAGCGAGAAGTCGTAGCCTAGGCGGCACGCAGCACGGCTGCAGCATTAGAGGAGCATCAGAGCGCAGACAGGAGAGGAAAGCACGCAGACGGCGTTTGCTGTCATCTTTGCTGCACCCGAACCAAAGCCTGTTAACAGTGGGCACTGGCCACGCCAGTGGTATTGCTGGTACACTCACAGGTGTTTCATAAACATTGAGAGGACTGTATACCCATTCTCGGATAACAACCATTGGCATATTTGTAGCAGGAGAGCTAGCGGACTTCAACTGTGTGATCCCTTGTTGAACCTCGCTTGGTTTGGAGGGTGCCGGAAATGTATGCGGCAAGCCAGATGCAGCAACAGTAACTTTAGATGCAGTGACACTCTCAGTTGAACAAGAAACAGCCAGACCAATTTCCGAACTCTGTTGTTCCGAAGTAATGCTGAGACATGAAAGGGACTTCGAAAGATTAGCATTTTCATGCTCCGTTTCTGAAGCTGATAATGGCGAAACAGCTTCTAAATCGGAAGCAGACGTAAGAGCAGAGTCTTTTTTCTCAGAAGAATCTCCAACTACAGACGTGGCATCCGAACTCGCGCTCGGCGAATCCACTTTGAAAGTAGGCGAGTCCGCATCGAGGGCAACCATTTCTACTCCAGGCTCCACGTTGCCTGGTGTGGCGTCAAGATGCTCAGGAGGATCTCGTTCGGCTGCCATGTCGCCTGCATCGTCGCCTTCTGTAGAATCTGTGGTCTCCTCAGCAACCGTATCACAGTCAACACCTGAGATCACTACGGTGTTGGGGTTGAAAGATACTTTGGCATTTCGTCTCTGGTGAACTTCTTCAGTTTGCTCCGGATCCTTTTCTGAATTCTCATCGGTGAGAACTAGAGTTGAAAGGAAAAAGTTAAAAGTAACGTTACAAGAACTCAACCATATAAGATACCAAAGTAACGCTAAAAAATGAAGTTCAATTCATCGCAAGGTATAATAGTAGATCAGGAACAGCTTTGAGGGTTAGCTGAATAGCAGCGAGGCTATGAATTACAGACTTTCATTATCATCGAAGCAAGTGTAAAGGTTTCATTGCAGTTCTTGGCGTTTCGCTTAAACTAAAACGTACGTTTTTTTGTCTGAGTGAAGGTTAGATGGTGCAAGTTGAATAGGATTGCATACACATGTTGTCGGAGAGGCCGGAAAAAGTCTGCAAATGTGGCGTATGATGGCTCTACTTCGTCTTCGAGATATGGCGGCAGTTTTATTTCTCCCTGCAAGAACAATGTGAAATGCTGTAAATATTATAATGTAAATATAAATGCATAAATATTCTGCATTGCTAGAATACGTGTATAACTTAACTTTAATAAGGAGTATGAACAGTAAAAGCTGTTCAATTTCAAAAGAAGTAGCTCCTTCAAAGTAAATGAACATTTAAAACTGCATCGGACATGATGAGAAAATCAAGAAGCAAAAGTGTTGAATCTAGACAGCTTAAAAACTTTTTGCTCTAATAATAGTAATAATACTAATAGTACTCTCGAAGTTAAAAGTTATTTTCATCACTGCTACCAAAAGTAAAATGAATTTAATACATTGTAAATGCCCCATAAGTGCATTTGCACTATTGATTATGTTGATAAAACAACTTAAGAGCTCGCCTTCTTGGCGATGGCGAGGTCGATGACTAAGTTTTTTATTCAAATTTCGCGGGCTTAGTCACGAAATTGGCTCGATGTCAGCGCACTGTTAAGGGGCTTCGCACCTGCGTAAGAAGCTGATAAATCTACGGTTGCATGAGCCCTTTTTGGTGTCTCTCAGATGCAAATGCGCCATAAGTGCATTTGAACAATTGGTTGTGTTAATAAAACAACTTAAGGGAATTCGCACCTGCGTAAGAAGCTGATATATCCACGGGTGCATGAGCCCTTTTTGGTGTCTCTCAGATGCCGTCCTGAGAATCTCCGGTGCAACCTGCGGCAACACCGCAGCTCCAAGACTTCCGCAATCAAGGAAATTATCCGTGGAATTCGTGCTCCAATTGGCGTCTCTCTCCAAGGCTTCTTCAGGCAACTTGGGAAGTAGATCGCAGGGCAAGGATGAAGCTCGAGCTCTGATTGCTCTACTCACAGTGTTGGAGGCGAGTGCATTGGACATCACTGTAGAATAACGGTAATATGGAAGTTTTGATTTCCGGTTTTTCAAGATTTCAGAAGTTAGGTTCAGTAAGAACCCAAGGAAAAAAACAAATAATAGCGAGCATGACATTACCGAGAGTCAAGTGCCGATCTTCGGCTTCGACACGCGATAAAATAAACTTTCCTCAAAATTGGTACTAAAATCATTCTACTTCATGTAACATTTCCAAATTATTTGTGGCCTATTCAAAGCTGGTTGTTTGATTCCATCACATTAGGCAATGTTTATTAAAGGAAATAAAGCAGTATAAGCAGATACCATAAAAATTTCTAACTGAAGCGTTGAATACGACCATTAAATTATACGCTCAATAAAGGATTATTATTAATAAAGGATTATGCAAAGAGTGTACACGAACCTGTCGTGGACGCAGTGCAAGTTTTGCTGGCACCTGAAGCAGAGTTAGCAGACAAGGATACCTCGGAGGCAGGGGATGGGGTGAGTGTTAGGGTGGGGGAGAGACGGCGGTGGAGGGGAGAGGGAGGGCTGGGGGAGGTGGGGGATGGGGAGAAAGAAGAGGAAGCCCGGCGGTTGCTTCTGGACACAACCCCGCCAATGGTGTCGCTCGTGTCAGATGTTCCACTGTCCTGTCGTGCCAAGTTCAGCTAATGATATACGGTAAAGACGAGCACTCTTATTCGTAAACTGTATAAATAACATTATCTGGGGCAGAGAGTTGAATTAGCCTCCATTAAAAAAAAATAAATAAATACAAATAAATTAGCCTCCAAAATGATCAAAATTTTGCTCCAAATTCAGACGGGTAGGTTGCCTTGTAAATGAATAATTTTCTACAAATGACAATTTCAATACAGTGCAGAGAAAAACAGTCAAGAATATGAGGATAGATGATTAAATAAAAGATTAACCTATAACCGGAACATGATAAATACTCAAATTCAATCAAAGAAGGTGCTCACGCATCGTAACTCAAACTATCTCTGCAATCTCTATGATTGTCTAGTAGCAAACTGTTTCGAAATCACTGTGACATTAAATCTAAAAGCATTGGAGAAACTTGATATTTGTGTCGATAACAACAATAATCTGGCCTACGTGATGTAACTAGAGCAATGGTTGGTCCTGGGATGAAATATATTGACATTATCAAATATTGACAAAAAGAAACATTTGAAAGAAATGCAGCTTTGCTTCGTGCGTTTGCGTACGGGTGAGGCAGATCGGTAGTGGTGACCCAGCCAGCAGACGTCGGGGGTGAGGCGGTAGGGGGAGGCAGCCGACGAGTTGCTCGATGAAGAAGACGACGACAGCAACAAGGACGCGCCAGGCGACCCAGACGCAGTCGACAGACAGCTGCCGCCTGCAGGCGACAGGTTGCCCTCACTCAGCAAGTATGAATGTCAATCACAGGAATCAAAGCTACGCCAGGGTTTAATTTAGGAATGGTAGTTCATATATTCAAGATAATTGCATCCTGGAAACTTGATCAGTTCCAAACAAAATATCAGCTAAAGAGAAAAAAAAATAGTTTCGGACTTTTAAATCCAGTTCGATAAAAACACTTGTTTCAATATTTCCTTTCCTGAATCCAACCCTAAGCTAATCTTAGTCAGACTCGGAGAGAATAATCAAATTTTGTACAATACAAATTGAAAATTAAGTATTTAAACTGGTGAAATCTATTCACTCTCTGTTAAAATAATTCTTCATCAATGCATTCATCAGGGATTTGTGAAGATGCGCGTAAACACACCAACCTTCGCCGACGCTCGCGCCGCTGACCCTGCGCGAGGCGTTAGGACTGCTGCCCATGGAGCAGCCGTCGCAGTAAGCGCCAAATCCCTGATGCTCAGGCGGGAAAGCGGAATTTGGCGAGCACATGGAGAGGTCGGCAACGACGCTGGCGCTGCTGGTACGTCGTGATGACGCCTCACTGTAATTGCTGCACGTCGTAGCATCGTCAGTAGCGCCCATGTGCAGTCCTAGGAGTTCAGGGCCAGCGGAGCTTGAGCCGCTCGTACGGCGGGAGGACAAACCAAAAGAGCTCTCGTCGCTGGCTTTGCGGGACAAAGCACAGGAAGGAATTGATAGCTTGCCACTTGGAGACGTGCACACGGGGCTCTGAGGTGAAGGTGACATGGACACTGCAGCCTCGTCACACGGTTGGTCTTGTTGATCTGCACGCATGGAGCAAATGTTACCATGAACGACGACTTAAACTCTATAAACTAAAGAGAAATGTTCATTTTATGATTGACATTGTGAAAAGTCAAAAGAGTCAACACGAAATAATATGAGGAAGAAGAAAACTTACTTTTTGAATTGATCTAGATAAATAGATGAATCCGAACTGACAAGGGACTTCCCACTAACGTACCGTACTAAGAGATGCATTGCACCTAACAAAGTTACGTAACACGTGAAACTTTTTACACAAGTACATGTGACTAGTCATGCACACATTGGAAAGTTGCGACTAAACATCCTATTACTTAGAGATCTAAATCATAACTTCAAATAGAAAAGTTTATTAAAAAGAACAAAACAAAAAAACTAGAACTTCATAGAAAGAATATCTGTTATTCAGAATGCACCATCAGATACCTGGGGCGGCAGACGCGTACGTGTCGCCGTCAAAAGGCGTCGTCGTGATGCAAGGTATGGACTGAGTGCGAACATTGCGCGCGAGTCTCTCATCAGCCATCGCTGATGAAGACTGAGCTCGCTCCAGCGTGTGTCGCTTGTCTAGTCCTGAAATATAGTTGCATGAACTATGTTAAAGGATAGGCTAATTCAAGTCAGAGTTCAACAGCCAAACAACAAAAATGAATTTAAAAAAAATGCAATATTCATATAAGACAACTTCTGCTCTAATCGGCACTGCTTCCCACAAGAGAATAGAACACTAGAAGTATACATGAGCAAGAAACAATTCGATAAAAAAAACTCGACAGCTGAGCAGACTGCAATTTCTTTTACCTGTCTCCAATGTCTTGGTTTCATGTTCATCATGTATAGTTTTCTTCTCAGTGTCTTGAACCTGACCCATTTTACGGCGACGAACGGAGTTCTTTTGTGAAGTAGCAACGAATATGTCAGTGGCAGACAAGTTTTCTTCTGCAGCCACAGGACTATCTGAACACGTACAGAAAGACTTGGCACGTTTTTCTCGGTAATTGGCACGTTTTCTGCGAGTGACGGCACTGCCTTTGCAAACCTGACTGGCCGATTTCGAGGCATCTGAGATCTTTGCCACTTCACGACATGGAGCAGGAGAATCGGAGTTACTTGTGGTTAACGAGATGCCACGCAAGTATGGAGAGCCTTCATGCTCTGGCTTATCTGGGTTGATGAAGGGAGTCTCTTCCAGTTCTTCAGACGACTGAGATCCATTACTGCCGTTAGGACTCGCTCCTCTGTCAGGTGTGCTGAAATATTTATTTCCGCATTTGTCGCACCGAGACGAGCGTTTCTCTTGGGTTATCTGTAACTCAGACGCAGCTTTACCTGCACCAGGTTCCTTAACGCCATAAGCCGAGGCCCTGGGAGTACCTTCAGCCTCTATCAGTTCATCCGGAGGACAAGTTTCGGCCTCTAGTTCCTCTAAATCTTCTTCAACGTCTGTGTCATCATTGGCCGCCGTGACGTCGATTGAAGGGATCTCTAAAATTCTCTGTTCCTCTGCATCGCTGTTACTTTCATTGGAGTTTTCTTCTGGCTGTTCCGAGATACTGATTTCTATAACGATTTGAGGAACCTGCATTGCACCGAGATCCTCATTTTCTATGACTGCTGTTTCAGTTTTGTTGTTAATATTATCATTAGGAACTTCAATTAGGGGACACGTAAGTCTTTTGCCAAAAGCATTCAAACTTTTGTTTATGACGGCGGGATCTGTTCCAAATTCTGAACTTGTTTCAGTTACAGCGCTTGAATTTTCATCCGTGAAGATAACCTCAGGAATGCTTTGATGTCGCCTAGCCGCTGCACTGTTCCGGCTGTACGTGGTAGTAGCTGGGTTGTCTTGAGCCTCAAATAATTCTTCTTCCACAGTTTCGCATATGATGGGGATGTTGCGCAAAAGAGGGACAGAATTATGCCGACGCGTACGCTGTTTTGGAGAGACAGATGATAGAAAAGGAACACCAGGTGTTTGCGACGGAGTCCCAGAGGTGTCGGAGGTCACATATACAGGTGAAGGGCGAGAGAGTACAGTAGACGAAGTAGGAACAGATGACGAAGATGTTACAGTTCCCATGGTTCCGTTATCATCAGGATGCAAACTCTCACTAATTGTCAACGCGGGCACTGAGGCTGAGAGAAATTTATTACCGATGGAGTCAGTTGATAATTTTCCACCAGCACTACCACCAGCAGCATTCACTGAGAGGTCGTCAGAGGGTAAGGAAGTAACCAAAGCGTCACAAGTCCCTGAAGTAACCCGTGAACTGGAATGCTGGTACCTAGAAGGGAGGAAATCATTTTCAATTTCTAAACCATAAAATATAGTTCTGGGATATCGGGAACTAATCCCTGGACAAATAAATACGCCCAATCGACAACAATCCGTCATCTAACCCAGAATGCAATTGCACCTTCAAAAAACAAGAGAAAAAAAATCAGCACACTGGTAAATTCCATGATCTTTTATATGAAGTTGTGAGTCATGGTTTACTCAAACGATGAAAGTGCACAGGCTCAACTTTCACTTTCAATTCAAGGAATAAATCCAGCGCCAAACTATAGCGCATCCACCTATTTCCAATATTCATAGAATGCGCACTAAAGCTTACAAAATATGTGCAGCAAGTGACACTAAGAGGAGAACGAAAGAGAAATGTGCGATATGACAAGAAAAAAACGAAACCCGTGCAAAGTAGGACATCAGCATTAGATGAACAGCGATGAGGAATGGAAGGAAGCCTGCCAAACCGTACTGCAGGATGGACGGTACTATTCAATTCATTAAGTCAAGGAAGAATATGTATGTACCTTTGAAAATGCAAACTTCATGCAACATACCTATGAGCAACACCGTAAAAACAGGTCAGATACAATCTTACAATGTGACTAGACAAACAATGAGTTGAAGTTTACCGGGGCTAAAAAATATGTAACCACCTGAGGAAGCCTTCCTGAGTGCCGTTGAGGAAATACTGAACTGCAGCACAGAGCTTTCCACACCGGGGATCTTTAGCGTGCCCAAACACCTGCCACATGAGAACAACAAAATTATATACAAAGTCCTAAATATGAAAATAAAGTATTATTTTAGAGAGCGAGAGGAGCACTATTATGGCTTTGTAAGAAACTACATTTGAGTGACGTCGACCATTTTGGAGAAATTTGCACTTTAAAATTTCACACCTCCGCATCCGCATCACACATCCCAAGGCCTTAGTCAACTGAAGCTTACTTTAAACTCAAAAGTTCAATCGCTTGAAAGTAACAAGAGTTCAAGCATGCTCGAACTTGCATTCAAAATTACCCTAATAAATTTGTATAATAGGGTCATATAAATGAACTGTTGGTTAAATAGACATAGGTACTGAATAAATTGGGTCATATTTCAGTAGGGCCATCAAATTCCCATTGAAAAAATATGGTACAGTGAGTTGAAAGATGGCGAGGTAGTGAGACTCACAGCAGCAGCAAGGGCGGGCAAGTTAGGGTCGGTGAGAGGAGCAGAGCAGCGCGTGCTGATGAAGAAGCACAGCAGCTGTACCAGGTCACCGCCACCACGCATCTGCATTGTAGCAATATACTTAGAGAAGGTTAATATTGGTGTGGCATATATATGTAGGGATATACTAGTAAAAGCAGTAGTTGATGCTTGGTTTTTGAGGGATTAACTTGGATTGTTTACTTCCATTATATATTTACTAATTTTTATTACTAATTTATGGCATTCTGTCAACACCTACATTGCATTAAACACGCCCACATGATTCGCCACGGAAATATAACAAAAAATCTTTAGAGCAAAAACAAAAAAACATAAGGAGTGAAAAACATACAAAAGTAGACTTAGACACTACGAATATGAAAATAAAATTTATCCAGGCTCACACTCACTCCTGGATTAGCTGGAACTGCAGCCCTTGCAGCGCCGTCCAGCAGTGAGTTGTGGAACTGGAAGAAGTCCTGCTCCGACAGGAGGAAGTTAGGCAGGAGAGCGGTCAGGAGGCAGAGACGTGGCCGTGGGATGTTCAGGCTGCGGCACACCTCCGCCGTCAAAAACTCCACGGTTTCCAAGGTGCCCTGTTCAATGACAGAAATATTTATTCCTTTTTTCCACACTTTCATGCAAAACTATAGTAACTGCCAAGGATGAAGAATCAGTCTTATTAACATTTATAAATTTTAGCCGACTACCGGTACCTACATTGAACAACAAAAAATTGAGGGCATACTTGGTTTAGATATATTCATGAGATATGCTGAAATTTTGTGTCTTAAAAATGAAAATTGTAATGAGCCTGAATAATGAATCATACCGTAATTGATCTGCTTTATTTTCAAAATGCCTAACATGAATGGTGAGAAATATTACGACTTGTCTATGATACCTTGATAACCAAGAAATAAATCTAGGCACATATACTGATCAATTCTCCCATTCTAACACTTTCAAATTTTCTCAAACATACGTATTAAAAAATTAGCAAAGGCAAGCAAGCAAATTAAATTTTAAGTTTTTTTAATTCTGTCAGAAAAAAAATTAGCAGCTAAAAAATAGCATCTCTATTAAAACAACAGCACAATATTGGATTTCCAAAGGAGTGGATAAGGAAGTAGAGGTAAAATGAAGCAATTTCTTTTGGCAGCCTTTACCTTATAGGTAAGTTTGAGGTGCTGAGAAGAGAAGTACCGTGGAGGGTCAAATGCAATGTACTCAGCATCAGCACCCAGCACGCCATCGTAGCAGTTCTCACGGCAGAAACCAATCACTTCTTGGTGGTGATCATCCATGCTTACCATCTGGCATCACAAGCAACATAGATCAAAACTCCATGATGAACAATACTTGCAGGAAAATATTTAAAACTAAACAAAATAAAAAAATTCAATGAATTATACAAAACTGAAAACTTTTCATGAAAAATGTGTAGAGTTTTTCCCAGTAGATTTTGCTTCTTAGTAATTGACAGCTGTCAGTTTGATAGCTTATGTAGGTACATTATTGAAAAAAAAAAAATTTAAACATGAGGAGGCTTAACCAGTCAATTTTACTATCATGCTGGTTATAATAGGCTAAAAATATAACCTAACTGAACAGAACATGATGTATATTTGGAAATGTAGGTAAAATCAACTTTGAAGTTTCTGGAAAAATTCATTTGCAGAATGTCAAATGTTAATAAAAATTAAATTAGAACATCAAATACAAAAATCAGATTGCATGTAGTTATTTTGAGAAGATTTTCCCATAGCTGTCACGTCATAAAAGATCTACACACTAAAATCTTTGGCCCATTTATTCCCAAGAAATATACCATGTTGACATTGAGGTAGCGGAGAGCAAGTCTGAGTGCCGTCTGCAGGCCCGTAGGTGGCACCCACCACACCTTAGGCGGAGGTGAGCCCTGCACGCTGACATGACGCAGCACCTACAACACAGAACAGGGAATAAGTTGTCAAATCTGAGAGTTTGCAATGCAATCGGATATAATATAAGCAAATGAGGTGCCGTTCTAATGCATTCTTGCAAGGATCATATTTTAAAACTACCTAATTGGTAGTAACTGAAACTACCTAATTGGTGGTACTGTAACTACCTAATAGGTAAGTACTAGTAGTGCCCTAAAATACCTCGTAGTGGTTATGAGCAGCATGTAATTATTTTGTTCATTTCATTTTTCATTCTTAAACATGAGACTGGAAGTGCCTATGCCCAATAATTTTAATGCTATTTTCAAAAGTATAAAATAAAAACCAATAGGGTAACTTCGAAGTAACAGAAAAACATTAAACATTTGTTCAATGCATATAACCTGATAAAAATATTTGATGCAGAAGAGATCTTATTTTCAAGATGACAGAAATTTGTTTAGCATTTACCCTCTTTAAAGCTTGAAAATTCATAGAATTGAAAAAATACTATTTTAGGTAGTAATTTTCTACTAATTTTTCTCCTTGTATTCTAGAGCAGCATAGTTGTAATTTTATTAATAATTTTGTGGGTTATGATTTAGTTGAAATAAATTAAAGTTCTTACCGAATTGATGTTGGTTCTCCTCTCCTGCATTGCTTCAACCCACTGTCTCATCCTTTGAGGCTCCAACGCACCATTGAAGTGCACGCTCACATGGAGATCATGGCTTCGGGTGCTTGAGAAAAATGTTGTCAAAAATTCTAGCATTCGCCCCCATTGTCCACCGCATACCCAATCTGTGGTGGAGCATTTGTTCAATGAGGTCTCCACTCAAACTGCAGAATACATAAATATTGAAAAATGATGAATAATCTACTACGTATATGGCAAAGTTTTTTGGCAACAATTGAAATTTAAATAAAGAATGATCTTGTTGAATAAAGAAAAATTAATATATCCACCTGAGTAGTATCCACCATAGAGCCGGTCCATGCATCCATCTGCATCCAATACTAGAGAGAAACATTCTTCAGCTGCAGCAGCAGGCATTCCTTCTCTACAGTAACCAAGCTGTTCAGAGTCAGATTGCCCTGGTCTTGGAAGTTCAGAGCAAACATCTCCAAACCACTGGCTGGAATCATTATCTCCAGTGCTTGCAGAATCAAAGCTTCTGCTTCTGTCAGAATGCTCTTCCCAATCATCAGATGGCTGAGCAGGAAAATTATTCCATGGGGCACCAGGTGTTTGGTGATATGTAGGCATATAATGATCAATATCACCTGAAGACATTTCATGTGGATAAAATTCTGCATTCGAAGCAACATCCCTTTGGTTTGGCACAAAGCTCCCATGTGTTAGTGGATGATGAAGATGTCTCCAAGGTTGGTGAGCAGCTAGATGTTGAGATTCTGAAGAATGGGAAAAAGGATAAGAATGAGGGCCTTGTCTTCTTGAATCTGGACAGGGAGGAAAAGGTTTTTCTTCAAGAGATCCCCAAGCAGAGAATGGCCGTTGGTTTCTGTTCCAACCACCATGACAGGGCATCCCAGGATCTGAGAATGCCCCCTCAGCAGGAAATGACTCCCAGTGAGCAGGTTTGCCTCGACCAGGTCTATCATGATGGTAAAAGAACCTACTTCTTCTTTTGGGCTGAAAATTTGCACAGGGACCAGATGGGTAACTAGGGCCAGGAAACGAGTTGTGATGATAGTCTCTCAAGCCTCGAGATAAATCGATGTTGCCACCTCTTCTGCCACTTCCAATGCCCAGTCGTCTCCTGCCAGACCACTGACCACTTGGAGGCCGTTGGTGAGGTGTTCTCTTGCCAACTGATCCATATTCATTTGCATGGCTGTAAACAGCACTTTGAGCAATTCTCAACAAATCAACAGGAACACAAGCACCAGGAACATTGGTCTCCAAATAATATTGCAAATTATGAATGGTCATACTTATAATGAGAAATCATTAGATTAGCTACATTATGAATCTTTTACATCACAGAATTTGAACTTATGAGTGAATCTGCAGAATGGGATAAAATAGAATTTAATTAAATCATTTTGAATACCGTCAACCGGGGTAATTCGGGACGATTTTGAGCGTTTTTTGTTAATAACTTCTTACGATGAAACATTTCATAAACAAGTTTAGGCTCATTTTATAGCTCTTTGCGAGGGCTATCGAATGGCATTGTCAAAAAAATTCCATATGCTATTCAGGAATGAGATAGGCAAAATCTGTCAATTACGTTTTCAAGCCGACACCTGGGTGCAACTTTTATGTAAGTAAAATTTTTTAATACAGCGAATATTTTTTTTGCTCCAGACCTTAGCAGAAGTAACTTTTCAAAATAGCGCTTTTCACCATTTTTTTCTGGAATTTTTCAAAGCTAGTAAATGTCGTATTTTTTGACTCCCTTTATACTACATAGATAGGAAAAATGTTGACGTTTACGCCACTATTTTTAGTTTTGCAATATTCCAATTAGTTTTGCTACTATAACAGTTTTACGCCGTGTCGGAGTGTTGCAGGGGGAGCTATATTGCTTTTTAGCCCAACCCTTTGGCTTTCATGCTCGTTTATTTAATGTCTGTGCTGTGTTTTTCTCATTATGTAATTTTTCTGTTTTTCTTCTCTAGTCCAGACAAGGAAGCAAAATCATTAATGTAACGTAAATTCCAAAACTAAAGCATAATCCTAATGCAAAATTCCAATGAATAACTAATAACTGCACCAGTATGGGAACCTAAGCTAACTCACCACTTGAGAGGAAGTGAGTGATTGTTTATTGCATATATTCATTTTATTGCTCAATTGATGTTATATTATAAATGGTTTATATTTTTGTGATTTCGCTTTGTTTTCTGATTTTCTATTAATTGTGTTCAGTGTGTTTTAATTCTGCAAGCTATATATTTTGATGTTCATTAATTCTTCATTAAGCTGTTTGCTGCAATATAAGTTGCTGGATTACTTTTTCTGCATCCATAAGAAGTCATTATTAAGGTTCTTGATTATTACTGTTTTTCTGCTTGTTAATTAATGCTTGTTCATATTTAATCCAATTCTTTATCTTATAGTCTTAGGGCTATGATGCATAAAATTAATAAGTTTTACTTTCTTTTTATGGCAGATCACATATGCATCTTGTCCATGCTCCTATGCTCCATGTTTCCTATTCTCCTATTCCTTAGCTCCTATGTACGTTAGTCCATGCTCCTGTTCTAGTTAGTTACATGCTCCTATGCTCCTTGCTCCTTGCTCCTATTCTTGTTAACTCCTATGCTCCTAAGTTCCTTATGCTCCTGTGCTAGGCCATTCTTCACTGAGTTATGCACCACACTTATTCATTTTGTAACCAAGAGCCATTTAATTGAACTGTAATCTAAATTCTGTTTCATTTGTCAGTAATAAAAGATCAATTTTAGTCTCCTCATTATCCACTTCCCAAGTAGGTTGTTGCCAACCTATCAAGTAGAAGTAGGCGACGTGTTTGCCTCACCCGCGGGAGACACGCGGCAACAGGAGGACTGTCCCGAATTACCCCGCCAGTCCCGAGTTACCCCGGTTGACGGTATAGAATACACTATGCATTATATATGTTTCTGCATGGGACACTGAAATGAAAAGCTACAAGAAAATTAAAAAAATGATCAAAAGCTCAATTTGACCAGCAGACCAGGGTGGTCAATTGACCAGGTTTTTCTGTGTGATCACATTATAGCTTTTACACTGCTTGGCATCAAGAACTTTTGAACAAGATAGACCAGTATACAGTGACAAGAACGAAATACAGATGGCAACCCAACTAAGCATTTTCTTAGTTTATTCAAGCAAGAAAAAATCACTACAAAAATTTCTTACAAGAATGGGCAATTTGATGCTTATTACTAGACTTAATTTCTTATCAGACTTTCAGTGAAACTACTATACTTGCACTGTACATAAAAAGACAATACCCCCGCCCCTCTCATAGTCAGCTTAATCCCAAACAACTAAAAGTAGCTCAATCCCAAACAACTACAGTGTCAAACTTTAGGATTCTCAAGTGAGCATCAATTTCAGTGTCCAAGTCAAACCTTTCATTTAGATGCTCATATTCCAATTTCAGAGAAAATTAATATATAATCAAATTACTTTGCCACAGGATCATTTGTTGATATTCAACAATAACCAGTAATAATTATACAATTTTATAAAATTTAATAATAAGAATTAAAGCATATTTCAAGTCTAGAATGGCCAACAAAACATTTCTAAAAATAACTGCCTCATGACATACAGCAATCCCTTGATTAACGCGGTTAATAAATCCCCGAGTTTTACCGTGTTAAGCAAAACCGCGCTAATCAAACTTAAGAATACAGCAATCCCTTGATTAACGCGGTTAATAAATCCCCGAGTTTTACCGTGTTAAGCAAAACCGCGCTAATCAAACTTAAGAATATATGGGAATAATTATAATGAATCCTCAAAAATAGCAACGTTAAATAATAATTTTTTTTCCACTAAAATTCATCATATTTTTTTTCTAAATAATAGGGGAAATAAATAAAAAAATGTGAATGAATTAACGTATTGTTTCCCGTGCGTATTGTTGACTAGGGAAAACCTAGGTCTCCACCAATCTTCTTTTTCGTTTCACAATTATCAAAACGCTTAATTATTTTAAGCTTAGTCTCCAAAGTGATATTTTTACGTTTAAGCGTTCCCTTTTTGTCCATAATTATGACGGTAATTTATCAAGGAAAATTATGTACTTTGATAAAAATGAGCAGTAGATATGGCAGCGATCTTGACCAGTTGAAGGCCAACACGTAAGTTAGAGCACCGGCATGGCGCACTTACCGGCGAACGTTGCTGAACTCGACCATTCGAGTTATGAACGAGACAAAGCGCGGTTAATCATTTTCTAGCCTCTGGCTAGAGGCTGGAAAATGATGTGTTGTGAAAAAAAAGTCGCGCTAATCAAAACTGGCACCGCGTAGATTAAGGGTAGGTCGCAAATTTTTTTTCCGCGGTAATCAAAACCGCGGTATTCAAAACCGTGCTAATCAAGGGATTGCTGTACTGTGTTTGATAAAGTATCACAGCAAGAAGATGGCATCACGTGCCATTTTGCCTTGAGCGATATAGTCACAGTGCAATGTCTGACAGCAATCTTGGTTAGCTCACAACTCTCTTATTATAACTGGTGGTCTGTCATCTGTGCACCATTGAAGGATTTTGCAGCCTATGGAAGTAAGTAAGATATTTTGCTGCTCAATTCTTCATTCTTTACCTAATTTCAAGAATTGACATTTGTGTATGTTGTATTGAATAGGTTATAGCCTAAGTGTATCATGCAATGATCTATGGTGTAAGGAAGACATGAATATGTCTTCCTTAGCTGACTTGGAGAAAATTGCAACTTTGCCATTTCTGGTACTTGGACATCAACACAAGTTTTTTAAGTTTATTTATACTTCATTCTAAAAAAGGAAAATTCAAAAATAAATTAATTCTACAGAATTTATTAGAACTTAACTATAGGTACATGAATTGGATATAGAAATTTTAGGTCAAAATTCATTTGGAAAACATTGTGGCAAATCAGAGGTTTTGTTAAAATTGGTTCATTTTTAATTTTCTTATTTACTCAAGGTTTAAACCAAAATCTTATCTATGAAAATGCTGGTATCCAGGATGGTATCTACTTTGTTGCTCTAGGTAGGTACTTGTAAGTTTTAGGGCTTGAAATTGAGCTTGAGGAACAGTCTAACAAACTACGAATCTACTTTGACTTTGAGTCTTTGAGTGCTGTGACAGTTGACACTATGCACGCAGTATGCAATTCTATGCTATGATCCACACTCAAATTATTCAAATTCTAAACATGGGTCAATCAGAACTCAGAAGTTCAGTCTCTGGCTCTGGGTGACATCCAGAATCACTACCCTCCCTAGGCCCCTTGTCCCTCACGGCCCCTCAGGGTCAGGTGGTCACACACTGCCGTCACTGATCAAGCCCCCTGGTCTTGGTGGGACCATGGGGGTAGTACAGACCAAGACAGAGAGCCATTTGCCAGCAGGGTAGGTGATTTTTTTTTCTTTTAAATCAAAATAATAAAAAATCAATGATTTTTTTATTTTTTCATAATTTTTTTTATTCATTTGATTTTTCTGATTTTTTTCAGCTTTTTTGTCTTTTTGAAAGGTTATTTTTCATGTTGCAATTAGCCTACTAACAATAACAGTATATGGATCATAATGGATGGCTAAAAAGGGCACTTATTGCCTTCAATAATGGCCAACAGGCCAAGGTGGTGTTTACCACTTTGGGATTTTTGGGTAAACAATTATTGACAAGTCTATTCATTAGCTTTATAAAGTTTGTATGGAGCAAGGTAACAAGCTAAATATTGACCATTTAACTGGCTTTAGTATAGAAAACACTTCAGGAATGCAGATCTTCTAAACATTGAAGAGTCACACAACAGATAGGTAGCTGATATGTGCACAGCTACTGATATTGCTGTGCACAGTGCACAGCACTATCAATAGATCTACTAGTTTCATGTCCAATAAATCTACCAGACTCTACTCTCTATACATACCAACTAGTAGTGACTGAGTGACTGACTGCACTGTTACCATTTAATTCAGACCAATAAACCAATACTAAACATATATAAACTGAATGATAACCAAACAAACCTCAAACGACTTGAAATGAGATTTCTGTTATGAGAAAAGCAAACACTGTTTGAAATAAACATGTGCACAATTCAAACATTTTATTTCCATTCACTGCATTTAATTATTTTATATAGTTTTATAATGGTAATTGTTTTGTTTCTAGTTATAAATTCACATATTCAAAGATTGAAATTAAATATTTCAATTAGAATACTTGTATTAGAGTGGAAAATCTTTCTAATTGCCTAAAAGGTCAATACAATCTCAACCTCTCTATGGGAGTTGAAACGATTGAGCAGTTTTGAGGCAAAATAAAAGAGTAATGG